CATGGGAGAATAAAGAGCTACAACATGCAGCAAGCACCTCGCTGAGATATACAGATGACTCTAATCTAGCGAACGGAGCTGAATTGGCTGGACTGGCATTTCAGAAACTTCAAGGTATCCAAGCCACTGGGCAAATATCCAACCATATTCTAAGCTGAATTGCTTGCAATTAATATTTGTGCACAAGGGTGTCCAAACCAAAACCTGGTAACCTTGATGTGGGTACAGGTCATGAGGAAGCATAGCTAGCCTCGAAAATAAGTTGCTGAAACACCATTTTGCGGCCTAATGAAAAGCCACGTAACCAAAGAACTATATAATAATTGGAAGAAGGACCAATTGTCCACATACTGGAGACAAACTCCAGGACTGGGACAGGCAAAAAGAGTCATCACAAAAGAGGGCAGAACAGGTCCTGTCTACACATGAACAGAAATAATATCAGATTGGTGGTCGAAATGCTCACCAGACAGTGCAGACACTGCCCAGTGAAATATCACCTAAAGGCAATAGAAAAGCTAGAAGACGTCAACTGCAGATTTTGAGAATCCGCAGCTGAAACCACAGAACATTTACTCTCGAAAAGGCTCAAATACCTCCAGGGGGTATTTCCCAACACCCCCAAGAGTTTGTCTACTATCCCTCAAGAAAATAGCTTCCTTCGCAAAAAGACCCTAATTTCTTGGACACCAACTCAGAAAATAGCTACCTATGTGCCTTGGGAAAAAGCTGAAAATACTTCGATATTAAAATATATCTAGGTGCTTGCCTTTCTTTATGTTTTTTGTAAAATTTTAGTAGCCCCCAGTGTTTATTTAAAATGTATTAAAAAGTTACTTTTTTTAATTTTTTTTTTCTTCTTTTACCCCCTTCTAGACGCCACTGAACTAAATTTTCGAGTGTTAATATATACCACGTTTTTCTATTCGATTTTCTAAGGCGAACAAAAAAAACCGCATGCTTACATCATTAAAAGTGCCACGGCAGGAGAAAAATGACCATAAGCCCCCCAGCTATACTATAACACATACCTCTACTTTTCATTTGATCGAGAATATTGCGAAAGGGGTGGTTTAAAAGTAGGTATAAAAATAATAAGTTGTTTTTAGTTAGCCTGAAATATGTAGGTAATATTTTTAGAATTTACCAATAATTTATTAAAGTTGGTCGAAATCTCTAGGCGATGACGTTCCAAATCACCAAAATATAGAATATAGGTGTGACTTGAAAGCCCTAAAACTCCTCCGAAATTATTCGAAATCACCCGAAATCCTCCGAAATCACCCGAATTCCTCCGAAATCACCCGAAATCACTCGAAATCCTTCGAAATCACCTGAAATCCTTCGAAATCACCCGAAATCCCTCAAGATCGCTCTAAATCCGAAATCTTGTCACATTTTTCCCTTAGTGATTAACCCCTCGTAAAGTCTCACTTTACAAAACATCATTATTTAAAAAAAATCATAACTCCATTATTAATAACTCAATCGCTTTGAGTTTTTAGTATTTTTTACATTGAACCTTTAGGCAAAAGTCCTCAAAATTTCAACTTTCCATTCACTTTAGTTTTTGAGTGAAAAAATTGTTTGTAAAGTTTTATTTCAAAAAACACCATTATTTAAAAAAAATCATAACTCCATTAATAATAACTCAATTGCTTTTAGTTTTCAGTATTTTTCACATTGAACCTTTACGAAAAAGTCCTCAAAATTTCAACTCTCCACTCACTTTAGTTTTTGAGTGAAAAAATTGTTTATAAAGTCTTACTTTATAAAACATCATTATTTAAAAAAATCATAACTCCATTAATAATCACTCAATTTTTCTGAGCTTTCAGTATTTTTTACATTGAACTTTAGGAAAAAGTCCTCAAAATTTTAACTTTCTACAAGTCATTTTAGTTATTGAGTGAAAAAATTGTTTGTAAAGTCTTACTCATTACATCATTATTTTTTAAAAATCATAACTCCATTATTAATAACTCAATCGCTTTGAGTTTTTAGTATTTTTTACTTTGAACCTTTAGGAAAAAGTTCTCAAAATTTCAACTTTTCACTCACTTTAGTTTTTGAGTAAAAAAATTGTAAAGTCTTACTTTAAAAACATCATTATTTTAAAAAAATCACAACTCCATTAATAATAACTCAACCGCTTTGAGTTTTCAGTATTTTTTACAATAAACCTTTAAGAAAAAATCCTCAAAATTTCAACGTTTCACTCACTTTAGTTTTTGAATGAAAAAATTGTTTGTAAAGTCTTACTTTACAAATAATCATTATTTAAAAAAAATCATAACTCCATTAATAATAACTCGAGCGCTCTAAGTTTTTAGTATTTTTACTATTTTTTATATTGAACCTTTAGGAAAAAGTCCTAAAAATTTCAACTCTGTACTCACTTTAGTTTTTGAGTGAAAAAAATATTTATAAAGTTTTACTTTACAAACCATCATTATTTTAAAAAAATTATAACTCCATTAGTAATAACTCAATCGCTCTGAGTTTTTAATATTTTTTTCGTAACTCGCATCCTTTTGCAGAACTCGCTTCGCTCGTTCCGCAGAAATCTGCTCGTTACGAAAAATAGTGCTTTTCCCAACTGGTTACACAAATAACTATTACATTGAGCCTTTAGCAAAAAGTCCTTAAAATTTCAACTCTCCGCTTATTTTAGTTTTTGAATGAAAAAATTATTTGTAAAGTCTCACTTCACAAAACATCATTATTTTAAAAAAATCACAACTCCATTATTAATAACTCATTCCCTTTGAGTTTTTAGTATTTTTTACATTGAACCTTCAGGAAAAAATCCTCAAAATTTCAACGTTCCACTCACTTTAATTTTTGAGTGACGAAATTGTTTGTGAAGTCTTACCTACTTTACAAAACATCATTATTTAAAAAAAATCATCTCCATTAATAATAACTCAATTACTTTGAGCTTTAAGTATTTTTTACATTGAACCTTTAGGAAAAGGTCTTCAAAATTTCAACATTCCACTTGCTTTAGTTTTTAAGTGAAAAAATTGTTTGTAAAATTTCACTTCAAAAAACATCATTATTTTAAAAAATATCGAAACTCCATTATTAATAACTCAATTGCTTTGAGTTTTTAGTATTTTTCACATATGTTTTTTCCGTTATCCATTACCCCCCTCCCCCTCCCCTTCCCGCCACTGACTTTCATTCCCTTAGCAAAATTTGATGAAAATCTATTTGTTGAACATTGGGAAGAAATAAGGAGTGTATATCTGCGACTATCAAAGATAGGTTTTTTTTTTTTTTTTTTTTTTTTTTTTCTACGGATATGCGCACTCGCAAGGAAATGTCCTATCACGCTCGAGAAGCGGCAAGTGCGCGGAAATGTCGGTGTATGTTGGTCTTGAAACGGTTCAGGTAGTAACCTGCAGGGAAAACCGTCGCAGGGAGTTTATTCCACAGCGATGCTGTTCTCCAGAGATATGAATTCTGATATAATGAGGTTCTTGGTGCCTCTAGTTTGACAGTAAATTCATGGTTACCGTCTGTTTGACGGGTTCGCCTGGTAGGTGCTACTCTCGGTGGAATCATACGTGCCAACTCTTCAGAGCATTTTCCGTGATAGTACCTGTAGAAGAGAGATAAATCGCCTACAGATCTGCGATGTTCGAGACCATCCAAGTTACGAGTAAGTGCGGGGTCATTGATCAGCTTGATAGCTCGTTTTTGCACGGTATTCAAAAGCATTAAGGTATGTTTGGGTGCTGTACTCCATATATGTGAGCAGTACTCCATAGTTGGTCGAATCTGGGCTTTGTAGAGTGTCAGCAATTGGCTTGGTGTGTACAGATGTCTTGTACGAAATAGCACCCCCAGCTTTTGGGAGGCCCTTTTAGCAATATCTGCCACGTGACTGTGCCAAGACATGTTGGTCTCTGCAGTAACCCCCAAGATGTTCAACTGAGTCTGTAATGTGACAGCACTTCCAGATAGCATGATGTTTGGCTCACCGGTGCTGGTCTTTTTTGAAAACAGAGCTGCTTGGGTTTTCTGCGCGTTGAACTGTACAAGGTTTTTGTTACCCCAGTCCTCTATTATCTCCAGGTCGTTATTTATCTGCGATATTTGAGTTAGTCTAAGATGATGGAATTCACGTGCGGAAAGACCTGTGGGTGGTATGAGTGTGGAGACTACATTGCCATCGTCTGCAAAGCAATAAAGTGGATTTACTGTTTTATCTATGAGGTCATTTATGTAAATCAGGAAAAGAGTTGGCGAAAGGATTGCTCCCTGTGGCACACCAGCATTTATTTGGTAAGAGTTGGAGTTCTGGCCATCCAGTGCAACATAAATGGATCTGTCCTTTAGGTAACTTTCAAACCAAGTGCAAAGTTTCGGCGATAATCCCATTGCTTTGAGCTTGTTGAGCAGATTTTCATGCCAAACTTTGTCGAATGCTTTAGATATATCCAAGGCAATTGTTCTTGTTTCACCCCGCAACTCAATCGCTTTTTGCCATAAGTGAGTGACGTATGTAAGTAAATCGCCAGTTGACCTATATTTTCGAAATCCGTATTACTTATCGTTGATAATTTTGTATGTTTGAAATACTTGAGCCTTGTAGCAGCTCCAGCTCCATATGGGACTGGGACTGCAGGACAAATTTTGACACAACACAAGAATTATATGGAAACGGAAAAAATAGTCAAAATTGCTGTTCTTAGATAAGATAATGTTAACATCGAAGTTTTCAAAATTTTGCGCATCCCTCCAATGAAACCCTTTCTTGCAGGCTTTACTTCATCTTTACTTTATTTTTACTTCATCTTTAATTTATCTTTATTTCATATTAATTTTCTCAGTTAATCAGGTTCTGGTGGAAAATAATGGTCCTAGTTCTAGAGAAAATATTTATAAAGGTGTGACAATTGCTTTTGCAAAATATTTAAAATCTACATTAGGAAACAACAAAGTCTCAAGACAAGTGGAAAATTGTAATTGAAAATATTTTCAAAATTCCTTCAGTTGAAGTAAGTTTTTAAAACTGCATCGTCTCTATAATCAGATTTTTTTTTAAAACTCTTACCTCTAATATTGTTTCGTAAATATCTACTGAATTCCTCCAAGTCACTATGTTGCTGTTCACTTTCGCCGCCCAAACTGAACAAATCGTCCAATATGGAAACGTCCGATTGGATTTGGGTGAAACTATTCTCTTTGCTGGCTTTATGGGCAAAATGGTACAACATATACCTAAACAGAACACAATAATTTGAAACATTATTGAATAAGTGCTAATCAAGGTGACATACCAAACGTTAGTTTGTCCTAAAATCCAAGTCAGAGCAGTTTTTCCAACTTTCAGTCCCAAATGGTCGTCGCCCAACATTTTGTTAACATTGAAGATTGAATGCCTAATGGATATTTCAGGTTTCTGTAACAATAAAATTAACTTTAATAATTAAAATTCAGCCAGACAGGTGAACGAACAACACAAAAAAAAGTCAATGAAACCAAAAATTTTTATTTTTTTTTTGGTTTATCAATTATTTTGATTTGTATTGTTTTTCCAAAAGTTTAAACAACGAATTCAAAGGTCTTTCAACCTTATTTTATTTAATTTTTTGGTTTTAGTTTATGATCAAATATTTTAAAAAACTTGCAGTCCTGTTGAAAAAGTCAAGGATATACGAACATATATATTTTTTTTTTGAATGATTCTACCCTTCTTTTATCATTTTGCATTATTGCCTGGGAAAACTGTATATTATGACGCCTTTTCACTTTCCTCGACCTTCCTTCCGATAAGAAATTTATCGAATTCCTCTCTAATGATAAAATTTATTGGATACGGGCGTCTATCCAAATAAGCCCTTTTTCAATAAGACAGGCATTTCCGCTAAACATTTCCGAAAGCTACTTCCAATTTAGGGTTCTAGATTACTTTTCGGAGTGAATTAAGTAAGTTTTTATTTGAACTCGGTTCGTTTATTTTGTTGATGATTGAATTCAAGGAGGTAGTAAAACGTGCTTTTTGACTGTGAAATTAATCTTGAAATTGTCAATTTTTGATGGTTTGGGATTTTGGGGTGATATAAATTCATACACTGAATAGACATATCATTCTCATGCAAATAAGTGAGACAATTCTTAATTTATCTTTATTCAAAAAAATAACATAACATTCCAACTAACTGATTCTTGATACATGTCGTTGCCTCTAGAATTGCCTAATGAAGCTACCTACTAGAAGGAAGCTGAGTGGATACTTAGTAAAATAAGGTATCTTGGAGGATTAACCAAATTCTACTAAAATTGTTTTCTGGCAGCATTTTCTTATTTTTATGATAGGTAAGTTTTTACTAGTGACAGACAAAACGGGTCATGATGTCATAGAGTATACTCGCCTCTTTTTGAAAAATCCAAAAATTCTCGTTCAATTCTCGAACCATCCTCGTTAATAATATCAATAAATTAAAATTTCTTTTAAATAAACCGGGTTCCGACAAATCAGTACAATTTTTGATTTTTTGGAAAACTGATTTTCACTGTTGGTAATGAACTTTTTTTTCTTTGGGCCAGAATGATCAATATTTCTGCGATTAATCAAACCTGGTATGTTGGAATTCCTTTATGCAAATTCAGGAACAAAACAAGGAAGCGCATTTCTTAATAATTATTGATAAAATTCCAAACAAGGTTACTGAATACTATATAAGACAAATACGCATCGAGCCAGAGCTTTACTAAATGACAAGGTGAAAAATTACTTAAATGATTTTTTAATCTATAAAAATATTTCTTCCTACATTTTAATGCCTGTTGTCTTTGGTTCCGGTTTATTGAGGAAATATTTAAACTACTTTTTATATTCTGTAGGCACATGAATCCTTGCGTAGGTAGATGGCTTTTTGGAGGTCACACAATATTATTTTTATGTAAAAATTAAAAATAAATATATCTTTCTGTTTTGGGAAATTTAAAATGATATTATTTGTAAATTATATTCGCTGGTCGTCATGATTTTTAAGCTTATTTTTTTTTTTCATTGGCAATAAGGTACTTAGTAACGAATTTGAATACTCCTTCCTCCTTAAGTGCCTATTGAAGGTCGCAAGGGAGAAAATATCGTACCTGTATTCCCGAACGGTTCATCTGTCTGGTATACAGACGGATGGAAAACAAAGCAAGGGACTGGAGCAGGGGTATACGGCCCACTTTATAGATTATCAACAGCCCTAGAAGAAATCCTAACCATATTTCAAGCGAAAATATCCGCAATAGAACTTTGCGCTAGAAAGTGTCTCGAAAGTCGAAAGGGACCTATTGCGACGAGCGAAGCTCTAGATCAATTCCGACAGTCGGGCTGCACTTAGAGCAGAGCTCTGAGTAGCTCTATCACTAAATCCAGACTGGTATGGGACTACCAACAACTCCTAAAGCAACTGACGTCTCGCAATAGAGTCGCCCTGTCATGGGTACCAGGGCACCAAGAAGTCGAAGAGAATGAAATAGCGGACCAACTTGCAAGACAAGGAGCTGCAACACCACTCCTTGGACCAGAACCTTTCGTTGGCATTACAAAAAGCCATATAATAGGGGAAGTCCAGAATCGGATAAAAACTCAATAAGTCTCCCGCTGGAACACGTTTCCAGGACTTAGACGAGCGAAACAATTCATCTCGCACCAGTCAATAAATGCAAAAACCACCTATTTAAAATATTATTTCTTCAAATCCTAATTTTCCAAAAAACGTTTACTGAATGAAAGTAAATGTTGCAACTATGTAATGCGCTGTAAAGTTTATGGGAACGGGGCGCGCCGCACGGAAAAGCGTTCCGAAAGGGTCGCTAGAAGAGAATGAGGGACTAGACGACTAGACTGGAGAAGAAGCTGGGCTGGTCCCTAAGACCGCTTGTCCTCCATTGTTCATTATTCCATTTTTATTTTGTATTAAACTGATTGTTCAATTTGTGATTAGTTTGTGTGCTCATAAGGAGCAATCACAGATCAGTTGATTAAATGTTATTTTGTTTTTGAGAGTTCAATTTATACAAGTATTATTTTTTTCATTTTTATTTTATTTGTTTCTGTTTGTTTATAACATTTTTTGTAACATGTCCATTGTTCATGTATTTAACCAAAATCGTTTCATGCTGTGAACAAAGTAGACGAAAAAGTAAATTAAAACCTAAGAAAGAGTGTGCATTAGGGCCTTCGTTGAATCTACCAACACTTTCCTACCCTGACGAGCGAATATCCTGGCAAACAAATTGAAAAATCAATCTAGATATTGGCTCAAAATAACAACTATAGCTGAGTAATCTCTCGTAACCAGGGACCTCAGTACCTGCCGGAGATGGGCTAACTAACCAAAAACTGTTTAGTTTTGAATATAGGTAGTAAAGCGGATATAAGGCTGCTTACAGGCCTTCTCACGGGTCACTGCCCTCTGGGCTACTACCTGGAAAAGATGAGCAAAATAGAATCAGACATTTTTTGCTTCTGTGAAGAAGCGTCCAAGTCTGCGAAACACATACTTTGCACCTGTGGGCCCTACTTAACGGCTGTGAATGTAAAAGAAGTCAATCCCAGGAACATTAAAGGCCACTAGTTATAAGGGGAAGCACAATAGATCTAATCAGGTTGCAGTGCGGCGAGGTCCATAACCTAAACACCCCAACCATCACAATCTACAAGGTACCTAAGTTAGTAATTTTTCAAACGAACATTTCCTATAAGGTAACGAATTAACGAAAAAGCCCTAATTTTTGTTCGCATTTTTTAAAAATTTATTTTTTTGTATCGTTTCGTTCGTATTTGTATTTTTATTCGTACCTAATTATTTTGCGACCTGCCTAGAGTTGCGTTTCGCTTGCCAACTCTTCGAACTCTCGACATTGGAAACTTCTTGCCAGTCACAGTTTTCAAGAAAATGAGGCGGAAAGAACTAAAAGGAGTCAGCAAGCCAAATGCAGCATGAACATTAAAAATTATTTAAAAATATATTAAAAAAACCATTCGCCTTTTTGTCAAGAATGCTCGATTAGTTGGGTTTCAAGTCAACGATGGCGCTGTAATTCATAAACTCTAAAACAAATCAAGTACCTGCAAAAAAATAATCATAACGTCCTAGGGCGTTATTTTCAAATAATGCCCTAGGGAATTATTTCCTATTGGATAAAAAGTCAAGCGTTTTTTTATAATATAATATAATTATATAAAGTACCTATTTAACTGACTTTGACATAATGTCATTATTTCTCGAATAATATACCAGTCGGACATTAACTAATATTTGTACATCTAATATATAAAATTCTCATGTCACAGTTTTAGTGACCTTCGTCCTTCGAAACGGCTTCACCGATACTAAAAAAAACTTACATAGGAAAACAATGGACATAAAAGACAAAGCAAAAGTAATCCAATCCAAACTCTTGGCAAAAATCAATAGATAATTTATGTAGGTATACCCTAATAGCACAGAAGCGTAGAAATTCATCATTGCTAAAAAGTAAACCTCAATGGCGGTTGGACAACAAAGCGAATAAGCTCAATTATTAAAACAGAAATATCATCAACATTAACCTCTCCCTATTCAGTGTCAACACCAACCGATAGTTCTCTATGTTTGTTAACGGACCAAACTGCTACGTGAACTAGCTCATATCCCAGTCAATTTGCGTATGTTCTTTCTGTTTACTAGCGTGTTTATTGTTTGGTCGAGTTTAAATTTAACTTGTCAAATTTGTATAGCGTGAATACACAAAACGCCTTTTCCCAATCAGCTGACACCAAAGGATAGGCCTATTCGCCTGTCTTTTGCATATCCTAACTATTTAATACATATCCGAATGAAATGGCGGTGGCGTTTAGCATGGTAAAGGCAACTGCAAATACTGTAAGTTGTAAAACGGGGCATAAATATTGGCCTTGCAAAAGAAATATGTTAATTTGTTAGATAATAAAAGCATCTGCAACGTAAATATTTTTGTTTAAAAACGGTATAATAAGAGTTCCCGTTATGGTTATTAATAACAGTCATTATGATTCGATCAATGCAGCAGCACAGTCATTCGTTGAATTGAAAAAAATAAAATAAAATTCAAAAGTACTGGAGAATGGAGATCTCTCTTTGGCTTTGTCGAGTTTCATACGCTGCAGTTTTAACTTCTTCAAAATTAGGGGTTGATGTGAGCACCATCGTCTCTCCTCTCCTTATTTTTTGTTTCGGAGCACTTGCTTCGCCTGCTTTTGGTAAGGCTAATATGTCTTTTGGTGAATAATATGAGTTTTCAATATTGGTTTTCGGTAAAATAGTTGATGTTGACTGTGGGTTTCTAGCTAGCACTCTGGGAGACGGAATTATAGCGCTGGAGGGAGCTGGTTGTGGAGAGTAATTAATTTCAAGATTATCGGGTTGTTGCTGG